TTCAGTTCTAGTTCCGTTCTAGTTCAGTCCTAGTTCAGTTCTAGTTCAGTTCTAGTTCAGTTCTAGTTTAGTTCTAGTTCAGTTCTAGTTCAGTTCTAGTTCAGTTCTAGTTCAGTTCTAGTTCAGTTCTAGTTCAGTTCTAGATCAGTTCTAGTTCAGTTCTAGTTCAGTTCTAGTTCAGTTCTAGTTCAGTTCTAGATCAGTTCTAGTTCAGTTCTAGTTCAGTTCTAGTTCAGTTCTAGTTCAGTTCTAGTTCAGTTCTAGTTCAGTTCTAGTTCAGTTCTAGTTCAGTTCTAGTTCAGTTCGTTCTAGTTCAGTTTAGTTCAGTTCTAGTTCAGTTCTAGTTCAGTTCTAGTTCAGTTCTAGTTCAGTTCAGTTCTAGTTCAGTTCTAGTTCAGTTCTAGTTCAGTTCTAGTTCAGTTCTAGTTCAGTTCTAGTTCAGTTCTAGTTCAGTTCTAGTTCAGTTCTAGTTCAGTTCTAGTTCAGTTCTAGTTCAGTTCTAGTTCAGTTCTAGTTCAGTTCTAGTTCAGTTCTAGTTCAGTTCTAGTTCAGTTCTAGTTCAGTTCTAGTTCAGTTCTAGTTCAGTTCTAGTTCAGTTCTAGTTCAGTTCTAGTTCAGTTCTAGTTCAGTTCTAGTTCAATTCTAGTTCAGTTCTAGTTCAGTTCTAGTTCTAGTTCAGTTCTAGTTCAGTTCAGTTCTAGTTCAGTTCTAGTTCAGTTCTAGTTCAGTTCTAGTTCAGTTCTAGTTCAGTTCTAGTTCAGTTCTAGTTCAGTTCTAGTTCAATTCTTGTTCAGTTCTAGTTCAGTTCTAGTTCAGTTCTAGTTCAGTTCTAGTTCAGTTCTAGTTCAGTTCTAGTTCAGTTCTAGTTCTGTTCTAGTTCAGTTCTAGTTCAGTTCTAGTTCAGTTCTAGTTCAGTTCTAGTTCAGTTCTAGTTCAGTTCTAGTTTCAGTTCTAGTTCAGTTCTAGTTCAGTTCTAGTTCAGTTCTAGTTCAGTTCTAGTTTAGTTTCTAGTTCAGTTCTAGCTCAGTTCTCGCTCAGTTCTAGTTCTGTTCGAGTTCTGTTCTAGTTCTGTTCTAGTTATGTTCCAGTTCTGTTCTAGTTATGTTCTAGTCTGTCTAGTTCTTTACTAGTTCTGTTCTAGTTCTGTTCTAGTTCTTTACAGTTCTGTTCTGCTCTATGTCTGTTCTAGTTCTGTTCTAGTTCTTTCTAGTTCTGTTCTAGTTATGTTCTAGTTCTGTTCTAGTTCTGTTCTAGTTCTGTTCGAGTTCTGTTCTAGTTCTGTTCTAGTTCTGTTCTAGTTCGGTTCTAGTTCTGTTCTAGTTCTGTTCTAGTTCTGTTCTAGTTCTGTTTTAGTTCTGTTCTAGTTCTGTTCTAGTTCTGTTCCAGTTCTGTTCTAGTTCTGTTCTAGTCCTAGTTGTCTTCTAGTTCTGTTCTAATTCTGTTTTTGTTTTGTTCTAGTTCTAGTTCTTACTTACATTTTCCAAAATAACTCTTTCGTCTAACCTCGTTATTTGCCAAGAAAAAAAGAGGGGAGCTAAATTTAGTTCATATATTTCCTTTCATTTTGCTGGAATATGTTTGCGTAACCTCTTTTCCTGCAGCTGCTGTACATGTTTCTATTTGCCAATCTATATATATAAAAAGTAAAGGAAGTTGTACCTACTTAATAGTGACAAGAAGATAGTAAATCTGTTCCTGTAACATAATTTCACATAGAAATTGTTTAGATAGGATAAAAACAGGAAAAAAAGACAAATAACAAACATATTAAAGTGATAGATTAAAAATAAATTTTAAACGAATTTAGATTTCCAACAATTTGTTTTATATAAATATGTTTTCTTTTAACATACTGTAACTTATTTGAAAACGAAACTTTAATAGTTACAAATATGATTCCCTAAAAGTTTATTTTCTGTGCTAAAAGTTTTGTATTTGAAGGTTTTACATTATACTTGTAGTTTAGAACATATTTATGATTATACTTTTTGAACACGGTGGCGTATGATTGATATTAATTAGGTAGTAGTTTAAGAAATTTCTTTATAACTTTTTTACGATAAAAGCTAACAGACTTATTTAAGCAGTGATAGAAAGCCAACATTTAAGGCTATAAATCCTTATACAAATTTAATAAAAAACTAATTTTATGTGTTTGCTATAGAAGTCCAAAACTCAAATAAATTTTATAGCAAAAATAATTTTTTGCTAAAATTTTTGTTAAATTTTTAAATTCTTAAATATATTTAAGCAATAAACTTAATTTGATGTTATTTAAATTATTTCTACATTATTTTCTACTAATCTTTATTGAAACCAAATTACATTATTTTAATTTAGAAGCTCTTAAAACTTCTTATTGGCCTTTTAAACTTTTATGCATTTTGATAAACATTAACAAAAACTTAAAATTATTTGTAAATACTAGCAATTAATAAAACTACATAATGATATACTAAAGTTTAAAGCAATGACTTAAAATAAATCCCCAAAGTATAAAACCTAAAATAATGTTTGAGTAAATGTTGGTTTTTGTTTGAAAATCAAAAATTTCTCTAACACACATGTGTATGTATAAATAATCAAATCATTTACGTATATTTCCCTAATAAATAACATAATGAAATTGTCTGGCAAAATAACATTGATCAAGTAAGAGAGTAGTAGAGAGTAGTAGAGTGTAGTGTAGTATAAAATGCTAGCAGCCGCAACCCAAAAAAACCACAACAAATGGAGTAGTCTTCTAGGAGTACTAGAAAACCATAAACATAAAATACAAAACTTAATTAACAAGAATGTATAGTTGTATAAAGATTTTGCAGCAAAAGAAAAATTATTAAGTTTAAGTAATTTAAATTGTCATAATATGATGAACTAAAAAGCTATAAGTAAGGTTATTAATGTTATTAGTTTATTAAAGAAACAAAAAAAAAACAAACTAGCTTATCCTTAGGTCCTTAACAAACCCTAAACAAATAAATATTTAGAAAAATAACAAACAAAAGTTTTAAAATTAATAAGGCATATAAAGTCTTATAGTATTTGTTTTAAGCCTTAAGGTTTTCAGAAAAAAAATTAAGGATAAAGTTTAAAACATAAAACAAATAACACAAGCCATTAGCTTGGGATAAAGTAAGCAATTTATTTGTTTATAGGTTTTCAAAACAAGAAAACCTATAAATATTTAATTGTTTTTAAAATACTTAAGGCTAATAAATTTAAAAATAATTAATTTTGTTAGATATGGATGCAATAACATATAAAAAATAAGAACATTTTGAAAAGAAAATTATTTTTTTTAAATTTTTAATTTTAAGTTAAAAATTTAAAAGTGTATAGTTCGTTTGCTGTTAGTGTCTTTAACTTTGTTTTTATATACCCCAAAAGCTTAGCTTGTGTGCTTTAAAATGTCCTTACATTACTTTGAAATTGCAGCAGTAGTTTAGAAGTTATTGTTAAAAAACCATTTTTGTACCAGGGTACGTATGATTGATATTAATTAGGTAGTACTTTTATAAAATTTTCAATAACTTGGCAACTATATGAGCTAGATTAATAATTTAAATTGCATTTTAAAGTAAACACTTAAGGCTATAATATAATGTGAATAAGTTAGCCCAAAAATATTTTGTTGATTCTAAAATTTGTTGCCAAAAAAAATATATTTTTTCAAACAATTTTTTTCACTTTTCCTTAATAAAACTTGAGGAATTAAGCCTTAAAACAAAAAAATTTTGGAATTTGTAGAAATATTCATGATTTAACTAGTTTTTGCTTTAAATATAATTTAAAAATTTTAACAATTTTTCTCTTATATTTCATTGAAACCTCTATCTCTATTTCGAACTCTAAACTACTGCAGTTTTACTATAACCAAAAATGTATATTTATGTCTGCTTATAAATATGTATGTATATTGGGGTAAAAATATTCCATTTATTTAGTTTTTTTTAACTCTTTTGTTTTCTTTAAAATACCTAAAACACAATGTTGTGTAAACGAGTGTAGAAAATTTGTATATGTTTGGCAATAGGAAAAAAAAAACACACATACAATATAAATAACATGGAATTAACAAAAACAACAACAATATGTATGTATATAAACCTTTGATAGACAAATTCAATTTTAAGACTTCAATTCTATTGAAATCGATTTGTTATGCTCCATTTCCTGTTTCCGTTTTTTTGTTTTATACGAAATTTGGCTCATGGTCTATAAGTATGATAGAGAGGGAAAGATAAATATGGGAAAGAAAGAGGAAAAGAGTTAAAAAACTAGAAACATGTGAGTTTGAAAATGTATATGTTGTTGTTGCTGCTATTGCATGTGTAGTTTATAATGTTCTAGAGCTGTTTGGTGTTCATTTTATTTTAAAACCTCAATGGTTTCAATAGACATACATACACACACACAAACACACTCTAACATTAATGCATACATATATGAACACATATACTTACACATTAAAGTATTAACTCTTATTCATATACACTCTCGATACACAAAAACTACACTGGAAGAAAACCAACTGTGTGAAAATCATTTCAGTTTTAGTTGAGTCCTAAATGTCAAATTCTGGAGAAATATTTTACGTTCCATTAAATTTTCCTAAAAGCTTAGGTTGTGCACTACAACTTTGCCATACATTTCATTTAAATCCCTTTAGTAGTCTAAAGTTATTTAAATAAAACTATTACCGTACTAGGGTACGTATGATTAATATTAATTAAGGATTAATTTTAGAAATTTATTTATAACTTTGAAACTCTTCGAGATTAAATAAAAATTTAAATTGTAAATGAAAATAAACACTTAAGGCTACAATAAGCAGGTGTTAATTATCATAATATAAAGCTGCCCTGATCACTAGCTTAACCAATAACCCAAATTTTCTTACAGTATACTGTCATTCTTTAGATTTATAGTATTTTTGGTATTAAAACAAACTGTGTGTAACATATTTATTTATCTAACAACATTTTTTTCTTCTCTCTCCAAAATTGCAGGCATATCCCAACAGAGATATTACCAATATAGTAGAATCATCACACTATCAGAAAATAGGTGGCTGGTGTCGTCAGGGTGCATTGAATGCTAATAAATGTAAGGGTGCCCATCGTTGGATTAAACCATTCCGTTGCTTGGGTAAGTTCTAACTATATTATTTACAAACAACTAATTCTGTTTTAAAGTCTCAATAGGAAGAGCAACAACAACAGCTTTAGCTTTCCGTCGTCGTTGTAGTTTGTTATACTTAGTTTGCAACTGACCGTTTTATGTTTTTTTTTGTTGTAGAAGGACCATTCCAATCGGATGCTTTATTAGTACCCGAAGGTTGTCTATTCGATCATATACACAATGCTTCACGTTGCTGGCCATTCGTTAGGTGGAATCAGACTGGTGCTGCTGCTTGTCAAGAGCGTGGCATGCAAATGCGTAGTTTTGCCATGTTGTTGCCATGTGGCATTTCCTTGTTTTCGGGTGTTGAATTTGTATGCTGTCCAAAACATTTTAAAAGTGAGTATGAATCTAAAGTATTTAAACCCTCCACCTAACTACCTACACACGCACACACATTCCTTCACTTATCTCCTGCTCTAAACACACTCACTAACATATACTTTTCCTTAACTAAAACACACAAAAAGGAAATAGTAGAATAAGAAAAAAATATTGTTTGTTTTACAAATGACTTAAATATGCGCTAGATATGTGTTGGAATAAATCGAAGTATCTAGTTTAGCGGAAGGAGATTAAAATCACAAACACAGACAGCTAGCACAAAACACACTCGCTCACATTCATTCTCACATAGCATTCCTTGTCAAAGAGGACGAGAGCCAACAAACTAATAATAAATATAACCCAATTTCGAAAAGTAAATGTTTGATAAACGTGACCAATTGGCCTGTAAATTTCTTTAGCTTAAAGATTCTCTAAGAATACAGATAAATAAAGGGAGCAGTATAGCAAAATGAAAAGCTAAAGGATTGAAAAATCTCTGGGATTAAATCTTCAACAATTAAAAAGAGATTTATACAACTTTGAGAAGATATCTTAAATATTATAGGGAAAGGATGAGTTAAACCTAAAACCAACCCAGAATCCGCTCGCTTTTATGTAATTGGTCCTCCGAACCGACAATCTAAAATTGTAATTTGATATTGTTGATCAAGCCAAATCAAAAATATGTATCTCGTCCATTAGGACCCTTGTCCAAGATCTGCTTCGAAATCAATTAAAAACATTTTCTACAAGATTTCTTCCGATAGATAGATAGATAGATAGATAGATAGATAGATAGATAGATAGATAGATAGATAGATTAGATATATAGATAGATAGCTAGATAGATCGATAGATAGATAGATCGATCGCTCGCTCTCTCGCTCTCGCTCCTCGCTCGCTCGCTCGCTCGCTCTCGCTCGCTCGCTCGCTCGCTCGCTCGCTAGCTCGCTCTCCTCGCTCGCTCGCTGCTCGCTCGCTCGCTCGCTCGCTCGCTCGCTCGCTCCTCGCTCGCTCGCTCGCTCGCTGCTCGCTCGCTCGCTCGCTCGCTCGCATAGCTAGTAGATCTAGATAGATAGATAGATAGCTAGATATATACAAATAGATAGCTTGCCCAAATCATTGGTCCATCAAACCAAACTATCCTTGTTATGTTCCAACTACTTGTCGAATATTGCACCAAAGATTGATCGCAGGGATCGCGTTAACAAATACCAGATCTTGATCAAATACTACTGATGCCAAGGTCCATTTGATATTCCTGGACTGTCAATTGCGTGTTAGTGTGTATTTCTGTGATTAATATGTAGTTGATCAGATCTCCTGATTACGAAAATATTGGTCCTTCAAGCCGACAATATGATATCCAAAACCATTATTGTAAAGTTCCCGTGATTCGCAGAAAGTTAAGGTTCAAGATTCTTGCTGTGGTGTCTTCGATTTTTATTTAGTTCCTTTAATCAATTGGTCCTTTGATCCAAACAATCCCTGTCTTTATTCAGTGCACTCCTATGATCTTTTGTAACAAATATTGCTGGATTGGGTGGCAGGTAATCAGCTACTAATGAAACCTTTAGTTTATAATACAATTGGTCTTTCTGTTCTCTGTTGAATAGCCATAGATGTTGTCCGCTAATGAGATATTGATATTGATCCAGATACAAAACTACTGTTGACAAGTCGCAGAAACTGATTGGTCCTTCGAACCAACGAAATCTAATCTTTAGATTTAAAAAAGGTTGATAGCTTCAATGCTGAATCAGTTAATATTTCCGAATTAAATAATAATCTCCCCAATTCTTCCTGGAGAGTTGAAGTTGATTGTATGGATCTTGTTTGTGATTGAGTTTGAGTCACTAATAATGTTGGAATCTTTCTTTCCCTATATATCTTGTTGTTCCATGTAATAAACCATTGTTTTAGACGTTCCACTCTTTCCTATCAAAAGTTCTGTTGCTTTAAAGTCGAAATAATGTTCCAATTTCCTCAGTATCGCAAAAACTTTCTTCTAGAAGTTATTCTAAAGGTTTCTCTTAACAACTTGTTATATCAAAGATTTTTGAAAGAAATTTCTTTCAGCATCCTGCGGCCGATTTTGCAAAGAATTAAATCGAAAGTGATTTTATTAAAAAATAAGTTTCGTAGATGACAAAATAAGCATGCAATGTCCCTGAAATTTATTCAGATTGCTTTAGATTACCTCAATTTCACAAAAACCTTCCTTTACATTAACAATTTTCCTGTTATTTAGCAAATTTCTTAAAACTGAAGGGAATTTTCTTTTGTTTCTCTTTCTTTAGCCGATGAAATACGCGTTAAGAAAACCGATTTACCCGTTTTGCCCCCAGCTGAAATCACTAATCCCATCAATGATGATTTAGATGATATCAGCAGCGAGGACAATGATTCCAACTACTCTAAAGACAACGGTGATGATATGGAAGATAACGATGATGATGAAGACGATTTATTGGCCGACGATGAAGAAGATGAAATGGCTGCCGATGAAGCGGCTGCCACAGGAGATGATGCTAATGCTGAATATGATTCTGTGGAGGATAATTATGAAGAAGATACAGCAGATAATTATGATCAACAGGGTAGCTCTAGTGGTGCTAAACCTACGCTGACAAAGAAGGAAGAACAAAAAACTTTGGGTGGAGAAGTTAACAGCAAATCAAATGGTGATTTGCCAATGCCACCCACAACCGGACAACCCACACCCGATCCTTACTTTACACACTTCGATCCCCATTATGAACACCAGAGCTACAAAGTAAGTCAAAAAGTAAGTGTTTTCCCATGCCCAGGCATTTTTTTTAATTATCAAAACCCAAATAAATTCTAAAACAAGGAAGCCCAACAGCGCCTCGAGGAATCGCATCGTGAAAAGGTAACACGAGTCATGAAGGACTGGTCTGATTTGGAGGAAAAATATCAAGATATGCGTTTGGCTGATCCCAAAGGCTGCCCAAAGTTTCAAACAGAGAATGACAGCACGTTTCCAGGTAAGTTTCAAGCAATTTTTAATTAAATATATTTTAAGGCAATAGCAGCCTAACTAGTACAAACTCTTAACTGTCTAAACTAAATATATTTTTAAGTTACAAGTCATGTTTAAGTTGCTCATATACATTTCATTTCATTACTATAACATTAACAAAAAGTTGACGATTTTAGTTTGGAAAATTTTTTGTTTCTTTATCATTTGAAGTTTCTTTTCTTATCATTACATTATTAGTATGTTTATGTCTTTGTATATAACTATTTAGTGTATCTGTATCAAGTAAACGTATTTGTTTATGTATTCTGTGTTATTTTTTCTTTAGTTGTAGTTGTGCATAATAATGGGAGCGAAAGAATCATCAGATATGAAGCTTTTATATATATTGTATAAATATAAATCTTTATAATAAATATATTAAATTTTCTGTAGTATGGTGCTAATGATAATGATGATGATGATAATGATTATCAAAATAAATTTAATTTGAAATTTAGCTAAAATATTTGATTACTCCCTAAATAAACATGATAATGATTTGCTGTAATAATACATAATTTTAAATACATAAATTGGTTATTAATCTGATTATTTTTCAAAGCTTTGTTGCTTTTACTACTACTACTACTACTAAATACTACATTTATTTACAACAATAATAATACTACCACTACTACTACTACTAAAATTATGTTTTTTTTTCTGTTGTACTTTACCACTACAATTACCATAAAATAATAAATATAATAAGCAAATTATAAAATTTAGTTAGTTGGAAAATTATCTGTAATCTAATTATCTAAAGCAAAAAGAAGCAGAAAAAATTTATATACATTTAAAGCAGAAAATGCGTTACTATTCACATTCCTACCCCCTGGTTTTTCTAAATAACCTATTCCCATGGAGACTTAATGAGGCTTGTGGAGTATGTTTATGAACTGTATTTGGTTGTTAGTGGCTAAGAGAAAAGGTTTTTTTTTTGTATTGTAAAGGCAGATGTTATTAGAACATAAAGGAAACTATTAGAAACTTAAAACAGTTCTTTCATATTAAAGAATTTAAAGATTAAATCATATATACATAGGATTCCTTTAAAAAACTCTTAAAATTCTTAAAATTTTCCAAAAGTTGTCCACTAGATTTAATCTTATGCAAGTTATTTGGGGTTATAAAACTTCCTTAATAAGAGAACTTAAAATTTCCAAAGCCTTTAGATCATATCCATGCTAAAGCTCTTTAATTTTCAACAAATCTTCTAGAATTAGATCAATTCAATCCGCGATCATTTGTTTTGACATTTAAACTTCCAAATCAAAGCAAAATTACAAAACGTTCCCAACGACAATTGGATCTTCGCTCCGGAACGTCCCGAGTCATATTCGGCCAAAGATTGTCAATCCAGCGACAGTTGTATCAATTGAAATTTTTCCCCCGGCCACAGTCGAACTGTTACAACAACAACAAAATACCTTGAAGAATTCTTCAAATCTTTTCCAATTCAAACTTGTCAATGGTGTTCCAGATCTTAAACTTTCAAAGTTGAAACTACTGAAATAAATTTTGGGTTACAGTCCAGTTCAAGTTTAAATTTGTTGCCTCAACAACTCAGACTTTCAAAATTAAGAAAAATACAATTGTGACCCAGATCTAAAACATCCAGAGTTAAAACCCTGCAATGCTTTGTATATATATCTGTGCAGATTTAGTTGATGTTTGTTGCTCCAACAACACAGACTTCCAAAATTAAGAAAAATTTAACGATTTCTGTACAAATGGATCTTAGACTGGATCTTATTTTTTAAGAAAATTGGTTGAGTTCTGATCTAATGCTGTTCCTCAACTTTTAAGCTGAAGTGAACAGCTTCAAGATCGTCCAAAGATTTCAAAATATTGTCAACAGGGTTTAAAACTCCTCCAGCTTTAATATAAAATATCTTTTGATTGTCTCATCTGAACCATTGAATCGACACAGTGGAGTTTCGGGATGGGAAAACCTGTATAATTGAGAAAACTTTAGGGTCGCTGAGTTTCAAGATCTTCTATCAAAGATCTATTCACTGTCAGAAACTTAAACTTCAGTTACTCTGTTTTCTGGCCAATCGTGGATCAAACTTAATGAGCATCCTTAAGAGGATCCCTAACTAGTAAGAACTAACCGCAAATTCGATGACCAAGTCATTGTCCAATATTTTCATGATTTAGAGAAGGGAATGTGCCTCTGATGGCTTCATCTCCATCATGGTCGTGCAAACTAATGCGTTGTCTCCGATGAACCTTCAGAAGTTGTAATCAAAGCATGGGAGTTCTTGTCATTACGAAGACATCTGTTACTAATAAAGGTAATGAATTCCTTTTCCTTCATCTCATTACGCTCAAGAGGTAGGCTCTGAGAAGCTGCTAACATTTGTGTTGCAGCATTCTGGGAAGCAATACCTTTATTCCCTTCTCCACGATAAACTACTTACTCAAAAGACAAGCAGTCCATCCTCTTTTGCGGATTGGTAGCTTATAGAGATCGATTACACATTGTTGGCTCTTGAGAACCTGCTAACATTTATCTTGCTCCGTTCTGGAAAACTATACCTTTATTATCATCAATGTTTACTATTATTCTCCTTCTCTATTCCACGATAAACGACTTACTCAAAACACCAGAAACAGTCCATTCTCTTTTGCGGTTGACAGATTGGTAGCTTCGATAAAGCTAGTGGGAGATTCGGAAGACCACATCTCTTCCGAATCTCCCACTGTTTTAAACTACAACATTGTTTAAGCTGATGTTTCGGTTTTAACGGAATTTATTCCAAAACTGAACTGATGGAACTATTGGGCTATTGAGAAGTCGAATCATTTGAATTGAATGGTGTAAAGCCTCCAGGAAAAGGAAATGAATTCCGCTTTCAAGCAGCGAATGATTTGAACCTGGTATATCGGTTCCAGGAAGATGAAATGAATTTCGCTTTTATGCAGTTAATCACTTATACTGCTGCTCGAATAAATGATCAAACGGTTATTCATGACGACTGATTTCGCAAATGTACACGATCTAGTTTCTCTTCCTATTACCTTCACTACATCTTTCCCAATTTCCCAAAGATTAGAGTGCAACTTTAGGCCAACAATTTTGGAACTACTTTATGCATCTTTCAAAGTTCGATATTCTCCTAAGCAATACGATCATTTAGTCCAAAGATTGAATCGATTCAACAGCAAAAATGAGCACACAGTTGTCCTGAGTCAAATTCAATATTGCACTGTTATAAAGGCTTCATTTTAAAGACTTTCAGAAATTTGAATTCCCAAATCTTGTAGGAGCTCTACAAACTATTAAACAGGAATTATTATTCATTCACTTTGTCACTGTGCGTATTCTTTTTAAATATATTCAAATTTATTCACTTACTCCCCCAAACATAAGATTTTTGTCAATCCACTCACTCATTGTCATTTCACTACCTCCCCCCCCCCCCCTCGTTTTCCTCATTTTGGTTTAAAAATTCACACCATTAACTCATGTTAATCGTAAACTGCATGTTGATGGTAGTCTAAAGGAATTCCTTAGATAAAAAAGGAATTCCTTTTTGAAAACATATTGAATACTTTTATTTAAAGGTTGATTTCTTTAGTAGAATTTGCACTCAGTAGTTTAACATTTTAAACAGATCCCACCCAACCTTCTCAAACTCGAACAACATTTGTATTTTTGTATAACTAACCCATTAGTAGTTAGAACCAATACACAGTTTCTTAAACATATTCCCAGCAAAACTTCTTTGTTTCTATCGCAAAAAAAATCACCCAAAATCAACAAAACAAAAATCATGACACCAAAAAAAGAAATATTTAAGAAAATTTTCAAATTTTTAGCCAAAATTTACAAAACCAAAAAAAAAAAAGCCAACTTCTTTCTGATAATCTTTCTCTCTTAAATGTACAATACATCTTTATATGGGAATGTAATTTTAGACTTCTGTTCAGGCACTCGAAGAGGAAGGTAATGCGGAAAAACACCAATTGGCAGCCATGCATCAGCAACGTGTTTTGGCACACATAAATCAACGTAAACGTGAGGCGATGACATGCTACACACAGGCCCTAACAGAGCAACCACCAAATGTAAGTAGTTTAAAATGTACGAACAGACAGACCGACAGACAGACAGACTGACTGACTGTGTGACTGACAGTCCCAGCAACTCTCGCCCCAACTCACACATAATCATCTCGTTCGTGTAAGAAATATATTTTCAAGAATTTCATGTTGTGTGTGTGTGTTCAACATTCCTTTCCTTCTCCTACATTACGTTTCCTCTTTCTTCTCTTAAAAACAAAATGTGTTACTGAGTTGCGGTATTATATGTTTTGTACAATTTTACTTTTAAAGGCTCATCATGTGGAGAAATGTTTGCAGAAATTATTGCGTGCTTTACACAAGGATCGTGCTCATGCTTTGGCTCATTATCGTCATCTCTTGAATTCCGGTGGTGCTGGCGGTTTGGAGGCTGCCGCCTCAGAACGTCCTCGCACTTTGGAACGTTTGATTGATATCGATCGTGCTGTTAATCAGTCCATGACCATGCTTAAACGTTATCCTGAATTGTCCAATAAGATTTCTCAGCTCATGAATGATTACATTTTGGCTTTGCGCAGTAAAGATGACATTCCCGGCTCTTCTTTGGGCATGAGTGAAGAAGCTGAGGCTGCCATTTTAGATAAATATCGTGTGGAAATTGAACGCAAGGTTGCCGAAAAGGAACGTTTACGTTTGGCCGAGAAACAACGCAAGGAGCAAAGAGCTGCTGAACGTGAGAAATTGCGTGAGGAAAAATTGCGTTTGGAGGCCAAGAAAGTGGACGATATGGTTAAAGCCGAACAAGATTCAGGAGCCTTTACCAGTGAAGAATCCAAAACCAGCAAAGATGAGTCTATCGTAGATCCCACAAAAATTGCTCACAGTGACAAAGATCTGGCAGCTGAGGAATATTTGGAGGCTACCTTAAGGTAAGTAATCCAAATTTTAAACAAGTTTATCATATTAATTTCTATTTCTCTTTTCACAGCACCAAAACCCAAACCATCCTGCCCACCGTGGATGATGAGGCTGTCCAGCGTGCTGTGGAGGATGTAGCCGCCGCCGTCGCCCATCAAGAGGCCGAACCTGCTGTCCAACACTTCATGTCCCATGATTTGGGTCATCGCGAATCGGTATTTCGCTTACGCTCTCTATACCCGTATTTACCTAAAACATATCCTTTCTTTTTGCAGAGCTTCTCTCTACGCAGAGAATTCTCTCATTCACCGGCGCATGCGAATAAGGAGGGTCGCAATGTCTATTTCACTTTATCCTTTGCCGGCATCGCCTTAATGGCAGCCATATTTGTGGGCATTGCTGTGGCCAAGTGGAGAACAGCTCGTTCGCCACATGCGCAAGGTTTTATTGAAGTTGATCAGGTGAGTGAAATAAAAGCGAATTTAAAATGTTTTTTTATACACAAGACCATAAACTAGATTTCAGTTCACACTACTTATACTATAACAATGACTATAATACAAGACTACAGACTACACTGTAGACTAGACTATATAATAGACTACAGACTAGACTATCTACAGGACCAAAGCCTAGAATATAGACTAGACTGAAGACTAGACTATAGACAAAGCTATTGTCTAGACTATGAACTAGACCATAGACTAGACTATAGACTCGACTATACACTAGACTTTAAACTAGAATATGGACTAGACTATACACTCGACTACGGACTAGACTACATGCAGGACAATAGAATAGACTATAGACTAGACTGAAGACTAAACTATAGGTAAGACTATAGATTACACTATAGACAAGACTATAGACAAGACTATAGGCTAGACTATATACTAGACTAGACTACTAAATTATATACTAGACTATATACTAGACTAGACTTTATACTAGACTATATGCAGGACAATAGACTAGACTATAGACAATACTGTAGACTAGACAATAGACTATAAGCTTGATTATAGACTATAGACTAGGCTACGGATTAGACCATATACTAGACTATAGAAAAGACTAGACTATACACAGGCCAATAGACTAGACTGTAGACTAAACAGAAGACTAGACTGAAAACTAGACTATAGACTATAAACTAGACTATAGACTATAAACTAGACAATAGACTAGGCTATAGACTAGACTATAGCTTGATTATAGACTATAGACTATAGACTAGGCTATGGATTAGACCATATACTAGACCATAGAAACGACTAGACTACACACAGGACAATAGACTAGACTACACATAGGACAATAGACTAGACTATAGACTTAACAGCAGACTAGACTATTAACCAGTCTATAGACTAGACTACAGCCTAGACTATAGACGGGACTATAGACTAGACTATTATAGACTAGACTAGACTATAGACGGGACTATAGACTAGACTATTATAGACTAGACTAGACTATAGACTAGACTAGACTATAGACTAGACTAGACTATAGACTAGACTATAGACTAGACTATAGACTAGACTATAGACTAGACTATAGTCTATAGGCAATAGACTAGATTAGACTAGAAGAGACTAGACTAGACTAGACTAGACTAGACTAGACTAGACTAGACTAGGCTAGACTAGACTAGACTAGACTAGACTAGGCTAGACTATACTAGACTATAGACTAGACTAGAATATAGACTAGACTATAGACTAGACTATAGACTAGACTATAGACTAGACTAGAATATAGACTAGACTAGACTAGACTATAGACTAGACTATAGACTAGACTATAGACTAGACTATACTATAGACTAGACTATAGACTAGACTATAGACTAGACTATAGACTAGACTATAGACTAGACTAGAAACTAGACTATAGACTAGACTATAGACTAGACTATAGACTAGACTATAGACTAGACTATAGACTAGACTATAGACTAGACTATAGACTAGACTATAGACTAGACTATAGACTAGACTATAGACTAGACTATAGACTAGACTATAGACTAGACTATAGACTAGACTATAGACTAGACTATAGACTAGACTATAGACTAGACTATAGACTAGACTATAGACTAGACTATAGACTAGACTAGAGACTAGACTATAGACTAGACTATAGACTAGACCATAGACTAGACTATAGACTAGACTATAGACTAGACAATAGACTAGACTATAGACTAGACAATAGACTAGACTATAGACTAGACTATAGACTAGACTATAGACTAGACTATAGACCAACTATAGACTAGACTATAGACTAGACTATAGACTAGACTATAGACTAGACTATAGAGTAGACTATAGACCAGACTATAGACTAGACTATAGACTAGACTATAGACTAGACTATAGACCAGACTATAGACTAGACTATATACTAGACTATAGACTATACTATAGACTAGACTATAGAATAGACTATAGACTAGACTATAGACTAGACTATAGTCTATAGACTAGACTAGATTAGACTATAGACTAGAAGAGACTAGACTATACTAGACTATACTAGACTATAGACTAGACTGTAGACTAGACTAGAAAAATAGACTAGACTATAGACTAGACTAGGCTAGACTATACTAGACTATAGACTAGACTAGACTAGACTAGACTAGACTATAGACTAGACTATAGACTAGACTATAGACTAGACTATAGACTAGACTATAGACTAGACTATAGACTAGACTATAGACTAGACTATAGACTAGACTATAGACTAGACTATAGACTAGACTATAGACTAGAACCTATAGACTAGACTATAGACTAGACTATAGACTAGACTATAGACGAGACTATAGACTAGACTATAGACTAGACTATAGACTAGACTATAGACGAGACTATAGACTAGACTATAGACTAGACTATAGACTAGACTATAGACTAGACTATAGACTAGACTATAGACTAGACTATAGACTAGACTATAGACTAGACTATAGACTAGACTAGACTAGACTAGACTAGACTAGACTAGACTAGACTAGACTAGACTAGACTAGACTAGACTAGGCTAGACTAGGCTAGACTATACTATACTAGACTATAGACTAGACTATAGACTAGACTATAGACTAGACTATAGACTAGACTAGAGACTAGACTAGAGACTAGACTATAGACTAGACTATAGACTAGACTATAGACTAGACTATAGAACTAGACTATAAACTAGACTATAGACTAGACTATAGACTAGACTATAGACTAGACTATAGACTAGACTAGACTATAAACTAGACTATAAACTAGACCATAGACTAGACTAGACTATGGACTAGACTATGGACTAGACTATAGACTAGACTATAGACTAGACTGTAGACTAGACTATAGACTAGACTATAGACTAGACTGTAGACTAGACTATAGACTAGACTATAGACTAGACTATAGACTAGACTATAGACTAGACTATAGACTAGACTATAGACTAGACTATAGACTAGACTATAGACTAGACTATAGACTAGACTATAGACTAGACTATAGACTAGACTATAGACTAGACTATAGACTAGACTATAGACTAGACTATAGACTAGACTATATACTAGACTATAGACTAGACTATAGACTAGACTATAGACTAGACTATAGACTAGACTATAGACTAGACTATAGACTAGACTATAGACTAGACTATAGACTAGACTATAGACTAGACTATAGACTAGACTATAGACTAGACTATAGACAAGACTATAGACAAGACTATAGACTAGACTATAGACTAGACTATAGACTAGACTATAGACTAGACTATAGACTAGACTATAGACTAGACTATAGACTAGACTATAGACTAGACTATAGACTAGACTATAGACTAGACTATAGACTAGACGATAGACTAGACTGTAGACTAGACTATAGACTAGACTATAGACTAGACTATAGACTAGACTATAGACTAGACTATAGACTAGACTATAGACTAGACTATAGACTAGACTATAGACTAGACTATAGACTAGACTATAGACTAGGCTATAGACTAGACTATAGACTAGACTATAGACTAGACTATAGACTAGACTAAGACTAGACTATAGACTAGACTATAGACTAGACTATAGACTAGACTATAGACTAGACTATAGACTAGACTATAGACTAGACTATAGACTAGACTATAGACTAGACTATAGACTAGACTATAGACTAGACTATAGACTAGACTATAGACTAGACTATAGACTAGACTATAGACTAGACTATAGACTAGACTATAGACTAGACTATAGACTAGACTATAGACTAGACTATAGACTAGACTAGACTATAGACTAGACTATAGACTAGACTATAGACTAGACTATAGACTAGACTATAGAATAGACTATAGACTAGACTATAGACTAGACTATAGACTAGACTATAGACTAGACTATAGACTAGAATATAGACTAGACTATAGACTAGAATATAGACTAGACTATAGGCTATAGAAAAGACTAGACTATACTAGACTATAGACTAGACTAGAATATAGACTAGAATATAGACTAGACTATAGACTAGACTAGAATATAGACTAGACTATAGACTAGACTATAAACTAGACTATAGACTAGACTATAGACTAGACTATAGACTAGACTATAGACTAGACTAGAATATAGATTAGACTATAGACTAGACTATAGACTAGACTATAGACTAGACTTTCGACTAGACTATAGACTAGACTATAGACTAGACTATAGACTAGACTATAGACTAGACTATAGACTAGACTATAGACTAGAATAGACTATAGACTAGAATATAGACTAGACTATAGACTAGACTATAGACTAGACTATAGACTAGACTATAGACTAGACTATAGACTAGACAATAGACTAGACTGTAGACTAGACTATAGACTAGACTATAGACTAGACTATAGACTAGACTATAGACTAGACTATAGACTAGACTATAGACTAGACTATAGACTAGACTATAGACTAGACTATAGACTAGACTATAGACTAGACTATAGACTAGACTATAGACTAGACTATAGACTAGACTATAGATTAGACTATAGACTAGACTATAGACTAGACTATAGACTAGACTATAGACTAGACTATAGACTAGACTGTAGACTAGACTATAGACTAGACTATAGACTAGACTATAGACTAGACTATAGACTAGACTATAGACTAGACTATAGACTAGACTATAGACTAGACTATAGACTAGACTATAGACTAGACTATAGACTAGACTATAGACTAGACTATAGACTAGACTATAGACTAGACTATAGATTAGACTATAGACTAGACTATAGACTAGACTATAGACTAGACTATAGACTAGACTATAGACTAGACTATAGACTAGACTATATACTAGACTATAGACTAGACTATAGACTAGACTATAGACTAGACTATAGACTAGACTATAGA